GTTAAAGACGATATTTGATCAAATTCAGCAATATTAATATTCTTTAAGTATTTTTGTAATTTACTCACATATTTAACTTCATTGTTATTAATATTAAAGTGTGTATTATACACATCTATTTCTTCTTCATTAATAATCCCACCAAATACTCTTTTAAAACACTTATTTTTTACAAGTCTAGAAAAAAATCTTTTATACTTTCTAATATGAAAAATAACGACTGGATCTGTTTTATAAAAATTAAAGAATAAATCAACAAAATCAACTGCAATCTCTCTGACTTCGCTGCTACTTGAACTTAAGTATTTAACAATCTCAACACAGTTATCAACCTTCATATTTTCATAATAAATTTTCAGAAAAGTATTAAAAATCATTTTCATCACAACAGTATTAGAAGAAGTGAATGATTGAAATAAAAACATTTCTATCATATTTTTAATCTCATCAATTGACTCTGTTTTATAATGACAGATTAAAGAATTTAAAATAATCTCTATTTCAAATGGTTTATAGTCATCTAATTGACATAAACAATTCTCTAATGAACGCAACTTTACCATAAAATTTAATAAATTTTTTTAATTTATTTAAAAATACAGAAATTCATCCTGTAATAACTCATCTTTAACACTCTCTTCTATATCAGATGTTACATCATCTACCTCATTTCCAAGGATTTTTAAATTTCTGTTATTATTGCTAATAATTGAAAGTTGGTCTTTAGGTTGTTGAATTTGATTATGTAATAAATTATCTTGATATTGTTCAGTTAACCCCTTTCTAAAAGCCGTTGCTACAATTTCTAATAAACTCTTGTTTTGTAGTTCTATTTTTTTGATTCTGTTTTCTAATTTAAATATCTTGCTTTGTAAATGTTGATTTTCTTCATTAAGAACTTGTAAATTATTAATGATAACCGGTAATGACTTTTTATTAACCGAATTAGTATCTCTAAATATCAATTTAAGCTTCTCTGGTTCATGAAGTCTAAAAAACTGATGAAAAAATACATCAGTATTAGGAGAGGTCTTAATCTCAGATACTTTACAAAATCCATACATATTAAGCGATCTAATAAAAGATCTGTAATCTTTGGCATTTGTTATCAAATGCATGCTATGTTTTATAAAATTTTCTTTGTCGTAAATAACTACTTTTTCACCAGTTGAATCAAAATTTATGTACTTGTTAGTAATGTCTGTGATCTCTTTCCATAACTTTTTGATAAACATTGGTACTTTTTGAGCACTATTTTCCTCCTCACTCTCATGTTTTATTTCTGTCATAAAAGGGCTTATTAGTTTTAATGCTAACTTAAATTTCAAACAAAAAAATAATTAAATTTAATTAGTTAAAGAATTAGATTTTTGATCTAAATCAGCTACTCTCTGAAGCTTTTCAACAGGATTATATTTAATATCATCTAGTAACATTTTATATTGACTTTTATCTATATTTTGGCTATATTTATTACAAATATTATAACCGTTTACAAAACAGTCCTTATAATCGCTAATTTTGTTCTTCATATCCTTATCAAGCATTATAGAAACAATAATAGCTGGATCTACACTGGCCTCAATTTCTTCCATAGGTACACCATTCTCATATAATTTAAAGAAAAGTTGTTTTTGTTTTTCAAGTTCCGCTTTAGACATCTCAGTAACATCACCATTTTTATTTTCAATAATTTTACAGTTTTTGTCTCGTAAACCATTTCCATCTTTAAAGCCCTTTCCTTTATTAAAATGTTTCTCTTCATCAAGTTCATCATTTGCAAGTTTAGTCAAACCATTCTTTAAACGATCATTAAGATTTTCTATATCTTTGTAATTTATATCCCTTTTTAAGTAACCATCTAAAATATCTTTTAAAGTATTCATTTCATCTTCTGTAAAATTATCATCTTTATTATTATTATAACCATCTCTACCATAACCATCTCTATCATAACCATCTCTATTATATTCATCTTTATTGTAATCACCTCTCCCATAAACATATTTTTTCTTTCCGTTACCTCTTT